CGTTACCTGGAACCTGATGTGATGTGGTTATTTTAAGAAAAGCCTGCATTATATTCAGAGAACTCGTGCTATCAATGGCTAACCTGGAGCCGTTTCAACATGTCACCATAGGTAGCGGCGCTAACCCTGTACAGAACAAACTTTTTGCCGGATAGGTGTCTGGCCTTAACGGCCGCGTTATTTTATGAAAAAAAAAACAGTTTTTCAAATTGCAGTATACAATGGCTAGAATTTGTCAAGTTCAAGGAGAACGTTTTCATTCAACTCGCGCTGAACATGGGCCAAAAGAAAGTCGGATCTGTTTTGTGGACGGATTTAGCCAACGGACAAACAGAGTGTTTGAATTTCTGGGCTGCGTGTTTCACGGGTGTCCGAAATGTTCGGACCCTAATGCCGAAAACCCTCTGACCGGAGAGTTACAAGGCGAACTTTATCAACTTACCACGGAACGGTTGGAATATCTGAAATCCTTGGGATATAACGTTAGAATCATGTGGGAACATACATGGATAAAGCTGAAAGCTGATAACCAGGAGCTAAAGACTTTTTTGAAAAACTGTGATTTTCCGGAGAAAATGAACCCGAGAGACGCTCTGTACGGCAGATGGACCAACGCCATCCTTTGCTGCACAAAACCACCCAAGACGAAAAAATCTATTACTTGGACTTTGAGTTTATATCCTTACTGCAATAAACATATAGAATACCCCACCGAACACCCGACGGTGATAGTGAAAGATTTTAAAGACATTACAGAGTACTTTATCGCCAGAGTCAAAATCTACCCCCCACGAAATCTTTTCCACCCAGTGTTACCTTTTAGATGTGATAAACCAAACAAATTTGTTTTCACCCTTTGTAGAACTTGCGGAAGAAGAGAGAGCCATATCGGGTGTTCATTGCACCGAGGAGATCAAAAGGAGTTTAAACCACGGCTACACAATCGGGAAAGTATACGAAGTTTGGTACTTTGAACAAAAGTCCCGTGATCTTTTCACAGGATACATCGATTTACATTTGAAAAACAAGGTGGAAGCCAGCGGCTTCCCCACAGGCGTGAACACGGACGCTGAGAAAAGTTTAAGCGACACCAAGGTGTTGAACTGGATATGCAAAACCCCGCTCAAAGGAGCATTAGCAAACTTTTTCTGAACGCTCTTTGGGGGAAATTTGGACAGAGAACGAATCGGATGAACACGGAATTAATAACGGAGCCTCGTGACTTTTTAGAACTGATGTTTTGCAAACATAAAAGCACTTCTTATTTTACTTTTATTAACAACGTTGCTTTGGTACAGCGGTAGTACAAAAAGGATTATTTGCAAAAACCCGTGGTTTCTAACGTGTTTGTAGCCTTGTTCACGGCGGCTTACCGACGATTAAAACGTAAAAATGTATGATTTATTAGAAAAATTACAAAAGCGTGTTTTTTATTTTGATATGGATTCTGTCTTGTTTACGGCGAAACCGGGGGAATACATCCCGCCCACCGGATTTTATTTGGGGGACTTGTCAAATCAGCTAATGGATGGAGATTATATCAAGGAATTTGTGTCTACAGGACCGAAAAACTATTGCTTTGTCACAGCCGGTGGGCAAGTTCCTCTTAAGGTCAAGGGATTTACCGTTAATCCGGAGACTTCTAAAATTCTTAATTTTGATTCTTTTAAACGGCTGGTGGAGCAGTACGTTCAGACGGGCGATCTGACACTCTGTTGACTGAGACCTGTTTAATTCAAAGAAACAAAAAACGCTTGGCTCTGCAGAATGTCAGAGCTCTGAAAGCATACATACAGCAAACTCCACACAGAAACGACCCTAGTCGCCCGGCTGGGAATCGAACCCAAGCCATTCTTGCTGTGAGGCGACAGCGCTACCCACTGCGCCACCGTGCCGCCCGAGCTCTGAAGAATGTTTCTTTAATTTTTAATTAGAAAATACTGAGACCTGACTTTACCACCGTGCCTTATGGATTTTGACGTCAGACTAAAGTTGCCGTTTACCTGCATTTTGGCTGGACATAGCCGTTCGGGGAAAATGTGCTTTGTGAAAAGACTGTTGGAATGTTCTTCCAAAACTCTAAAAGGAGAGCCGGGCAAAACCATTTGGTTTTATGAAAACTGGCAAAAAGGTTATGACGAACTACTTGAGCTTATGCCCAATGTGGTTTTTGTTCAAGGAGCGCCGAGCAGCCTGCACGACCCTGAACTGGTACAATCAGGAGGAGGAGGAGGAGTTAATCTGATAGTTCTGGAAGATCTGATGGACGTTATGAGTCAGTCGGTAGAATTAGAAAGGGCTTTCACAAAATATTCTTACCACAATAATCTTACCGTGATATATTTGACGCAGAATCTATTTTATCGAGGAAAGAACTCTCGCACCCTTAGTTTAAACGCTTCGTGCCTGGTACTTTTTTAAAAACCTTAGAAATAAGTTACAAATTTCAATTTTGGCTAAACAAATGTATCCCCGACAATCGAAATATTTCCTCGAATCGTTCCAGGACGCTACGAGTAAACCTTTCAGTTATTTAATAGTGGATCTTAAAGCCGAAACACCAGAAAGATTTAGGCTGCGGAGCGGGTTCTGGAGACGAATCTGTCGTATACGTACCTAAAACCTAGGGATTTTTCAAAAAAAAATATGTCTGCCCGTTTAAAAAAAGCTCTCCCTTTTTCTAAACGGTTGGATAAAGGACAAGAAAAAAAAAGCCAACAAAAAAATACCCAAATACGTGATTTTGGCCATTTGTGAAATTGTTCTAAACGTTTTTAAAGGCAACGTTCCGCTGACTGACTCTCAGTATAAACAGTTTAAGAAAAGGCGACACTGTTTAAGGCTTCTGGCTGATAAAGGTTAACCGTTTGGGCGTAAGCGTAAACTCATTCAGAAGGGAGGCTTTATCGCCCCGTTAATCGCCGCGGCCCTGCCTTTTGTGCTGCAAATGCTGACCCCTAAACAGCAATGAACCACACGCGAAAGCTGTACATCGTCTCTGGCGAGCAATTGCAAAAATTCACACCCTCCCCTAAAGGAGACATTCGGGAAAACAGCGAGAATGAACTGGACCGGGAAATTAAATCCATCTTGGAGAGAAAGGATTTGTCTGCGGACACCAAACTGGATTTGTATTCTCAGCGTTTTGCGGAAATATCTGACTCTGGTCAAACAAAAATCTTTGGAAAAAATGAACTGACTTTAAGTCCCCCCCCACCAAACAAGAAAAACAAGAAGGTAAAACACCAGATGGTTTCTCCTTGAAGGTTTTGGAGCACTTGCCCAGTCGTACGAGAAACAAAGCCCGACTGATTATGGTCGCGCTGGAAAACGCGTGGACGGCTCGCGGCGAATTTGTTTACAGAGGGGATATCGTGGAAGGGAGTCATATATTTGATTTGTTAAAAATGGCAACCTCTTATCAGAAGTTGAATTGCAAACACTTCGGATGGAGCAGCTTTCTTTACAGCTTGGCAGACGCTAACGTTCCTTCGGGGTATTAGGAAATTCTTCTGCAAGGAGGGAGTTGGAAAATTATAAATATGATATTAAGGGTTCCGGGGAAAATTCTTAAACGTTTAACACGCCGGTGAGTACGCCCTCCCAGGTTAGAAATAGAAAAAGATCCCTGCAGGCACAGGACGTCAATTTGCCGTCAGACAGACGTTGGACTCCAACGTTGGACAGACGTTGAGTTTTGGTTGAAAATGAAAATCGGGCTGACGCCAAAACTCAACGTTGGCTTGACGTCAATTCCCGACGTTGGACAGACGTTGAGTTTTGGTTGAAAATGAAAATCGGGCTGACGCCAAAACCCAACGTTGGCTTGATGTCAATCCCCGACGTTGGACAGACGTTGAATTTTAGTTGAAAATGAAAATCGGGCTGACGCCAAAACCCAACGTTGGCTTGACGTCAACTCCCGACGTTGGACAGAGGTTGAATTTTGGTTGAAAATGAAAATCGGGCTGACGCCAAAACCCAACGTTGGCTTGACGTCAACCCTCCGACGTTGGACAGACGTTGAATTTTGGTTGAAAATGAAAATCGGGCTGACGCCAAAACCCAACGTTGGCTTGACGTCAATCCCCGACGTTGGACAGACGTTGAATTTTAGTTGAAAATGAAAATCAGGCTGACGCCAAAACCCAACGTTGGCTTGACGTCAACTCCCGACGTTGGACAGACGTTGAATTTTAGTTGAAAATGAAAATCAGGCTGACGCCAAAACCCAACGTTGGCTTGACGTCAACTCCCGACGTTGGGCAGACGTTGAATTTTGGTTGAAAATGAAAATCGGGCTGACGCCAAAACCCAACGTTGGCTTGACGTCAATCCCCGACGTTGGACAGAGGTTGAATTTTGGTTGCAAATGAAAAATCAGGCTGACGTCAAAACCCAGCGTTGGCTGTGCATCAACCTCCAACGTCGGACAGAGCATTTGGGTGCCTTGCTCAAGTGCACTACAGTTGCCAATAGGAAGATTCTGGGATTGAACTGCCAACCGTGCAATTAGTGAACAACCCGCTCTACCACCTGTGCCATGACTGCCCCATCCTAGCTGTGGCCACCTTAACGCCTTTCTGAAAGTGACCTTAAAAAAAATAAAATAAAATAAAAAAATTAAACACACACACACACACACACACACACACACACAAACAACAACAACAACAACAACAACAACAACAAAACACAAAGCAACGACTCCTTGAAAACACGTCTTTTTCAAGCTGTTCGGACTGACGTCAAAACCCAACGTTCTTCAGTGACTTGAATTCAACCTAACTTCAACCATGAATTCATGCTTACATATTATATTCATTATATCATATATTCATAATTGTTCTCAAAATAAGACAGCTGACATAAAAGTACCAATAAAACATTTGCTTATTTATTTTAGTAAGACAACTAAAGACAACATTTTTCAAAGAAACAGAAAAAAACATTGTTAAATTGGATACATATTGTGCTCCTAACTGTTTTGGGTTGGACGTGTAGCCTCCACTGCCAAACTGTCCAGGGGCTTGTTAAAGGTGGTCTGCCACGGCACAGGAAATATGATCCTTGCTGTACCACTTTTTGACAGAAGCTGCAATGACAAAGAAAAACTAATCAGTCTTTGTCTAATGATGATTACAGACTACAATCAGAGGAGCCAATTAAAAAAAAAAAACATTGTAATAGACCATGACATAGGGTGCAGGTAAGTAATTAGCCTAAGCTAGGGCTGCTTATATGCAATGCAGAAAATTAGGATTATTAACGGCCTATTAAGATGGTACTCGTAACTACACACTCAAATGCTCTTAAAGTTGAATTGGAAATCAAAACGCATTTTTTTTTTTCTTAACGTGACATATTTCCGAGTGAAACAGACTACTTGGGTGGGAAATAACTGTGGGAAAACTGTTGTCATTTCTGTAATATGATTCATTAACTGCTGAAAGCTTTATTTTAAGGGTTTTTTTTTTTACTTTCAAATACATAGACGAGGCGAAATGCTAGGTAGCAGGCTAGCCTGTTAGCATCCATTTTGCTCTCGCTTTTGTTAGACTTTCATGACAAAAGCACCTTGACATCTTTTTCCTGAAGTTAAACAACATTTGAGCAAGAGATGGACTGTGTATGTCTGTGTAACTGTGCATGTCACTCCTTTACCAGCTAATTTCTATATTTATATCGCCAGTTAAAATATATAAATATATTTATATATTTCATGCTCACTGATATACATCACATATTGCACGAGCAGCCCCCCACATATCACTGTATTGAAAATTTCCCAAAAATTACATTTTTAAGCAAAACTGTTCAGTTTTGTTATCTTGTGGGCCTTCCTGCTTTCTAGTGATAAACAGGTGGGTCTTGAGGTGGACAAGGTTGAGAACCCCCGCATTACAATACTTAAGAAAGTAATGTATTTAGAAAACATTTGGAATACATACACATTCTGAGAAAACCTCTGCAGTACTTTTTATTTCACACTGTTCCTTACTCTTACTGGTTGGCAGTAAATGTAATTATGTTAATGTTTCATGAAAAAATTAAATTATTCAAATGAATGCAAAAATGATTACAAAATTCCCAACATTATTTTGGCTCTCATGGCCTGTTTCAGTCCACTATTGCTCTTATAATCATGCTACCCTTTCACCAAAAATTTGCCATATCCCAATAATAAAATCTACTGTATTGCTAATTTGACAGTAACGTGGGTAGCTGTATGATTTTTAGTTAATAATGTTATATGTAACATGGCCAAATGCATGCAGAAGTCCAGTACAACACTATCGCTTATCACTTGTGAACATTTAAACTACTCAGAAGACTGTTCAGTTTAATCATCCCCCAAAGCAGTTCAGTAACACTGAGATTAATAACTGACTCATCACACTGATTTATCAGTATACACCGGTTATGTATTAGACTATATTAGACAGTCTCATTTGTTCCATATACTAATAATAATTATGCAACATTTGGTTCCGACCTTAAAAGCTGATTGGTTGAGAAGTGTTGTAATCGTGCTGATATTTGTGACAACAGCACTGTTTTTCCACAGCAAAACTGTATCACTCCGCTGACGTGTTGCCAAGTAACAAGTTTACAGGCTTTATGCATGCAAACCTTAGTTGTTTTGTATTTGTGCTCATACAAAATGAGACATTGATAAGATGGATGATTTTAAGATAACATTTGACCTGCAACCTGTTAGGACAGAAGAGTGTGACTGCAGACGCACATCAAATTCTGAACCTTGATATTTCTACAGTTCTATGGCTCTATCTGTACCACAAAAGGTGAGCTTTATAGTAGCAGCAGTTATCTTGGGCTGTGCACAGGGCACAACAAGCTAGGGCAGAGGTCGGCAACCCAATGCTGAGAAAAGCCATTTTGGCCTTTCGACAAAAATCAAACCACCTTGGGAGCCACAACAATGTCAATTTTACCATCTTGGCTGTAAATATGTCTCAGTACGTGCTAATGTCCTAGTATAGGCTAAAAAATATAATATAAACGAAAACACATGCTTAATTTGCTCTGCTTTAAGCTTTAGCTCAGCTATAGCCGCCTTTCTCACATCTCTAGCAGGAAAGTTTTCCTCAAAAGGAATAGTTTTTGAAAAATGTCTCTAAATATTTGATTTTTTAATGAGACTGAAGTCGCTTCTCATTCGCCAGCTTCATGTTCAAATTTTCATATTCCACCTTAAATGATGCCTGACGTACCAGAATGTAACTGCTGCATCATTTAAGGTGGAATGGGAAAATTTGAATGAGAAACTGACTTCAGCTTTGCAACTTTAGTGTTTGGCAGTTTCTTGTTACAGATTAAATGTATCAGGAAACCAGCTGGAGTGATTATAATTGCAAATAAGTCCATTCATCTCCAAATTATCAATGTTCGTCTTAAATCTCTCTCTGCCGTTTCGTTAGCTACTAGCTAGGTGAGGTTGCTGTGTGTTGATATGGTGACCAGCAGTCTGCGCGCCAATCTTCAGGGTTAAAGGGTGAATTAGCAGTTATACATTAACTCCAGTGTTTAAGACCATTTATTGTTAAACTGTGTTGAATGATCAGCAAAGCTTTATTTTACTGCAAATGAGTATTATTTTTTTACCTAAAAATCTAATTCTGCTGTGGGGCTGCAACAGGGCAGTAAAAGAGCTACGTTGCCAACCCCTGGTCTAGGGAATTTTACCATTGCATAGCAACAACTCATTTGTTGTAGAACTACTTTTTGGCAGAAGGTATTGTCAGTATTAAAGCATATTCAGTATGAAACTCTTTGATTTATTTTGTTTGTTTATTTTGTAGAAACTGTATAAAAGCAATAGAACACTCAAGGTGGTGTTATAGCGAATAACATCACGGCTGTGATAATCTAATCATATATCAAATCATAGCCGTGACATTATTATGCAATAACACACAATCTTGAGTGTTCTATTGCTTAAATAGCCATCAAACAGAACTAGAATTCATGCCTTATGATAATAAGCCACCCCACTGTGCATCAGAACTCAGAACATGCAACTTGTAACCATATCTGTAATGTTACAAATGAAAACAAATACAGCTAATACTGATAATCACAACTTTTGGAGGTCAGTGCCGCCGCTCACTTCTAAGCTAATCCAAACAATAGTGTCGAATGGCAATGAAAGGCGTTTCCATAAAATGAGAACGCCCACATCAGGAACACCCCCTTAACTTTCATTGGCTGATATGTCTGCAGAATGGCTTCTCTCATTGATGGATATGACTCAATGGTGAAAATACACCAGTATTTGTAAAGACGTTACGCATTCTAAATTAATATTGTTTTTACGTTTTACATGAGCATTTAAAAATATGCACAAATGTACCGATTTTTATGATTTGTATAGAGTACTGTCTCACGGTTTTGTGATCCCCGACTTGAACTTGCAGTCTGAATGCCTATGATTGCTAATGGTAGCTATCAGCAGCGTTTTCAGCAGTACTACACAATCTGCTCCACACCAAGCATTATTTAAATTAATGCGCAATAATGGATTATAATGTGGATTATAATGTCCCTGATGAAAAAAAAAAAAATCAAAACCATTAAGAGTTTCTGTTGGTTCTTGGGGGTTTGTAATGTGTTTTGGCTTTTCTTGATGGGTTGATAATGTAAACGATCCTAACGATTTAACAAGTGATCTAGTGACAGATTCCAGATACATTTCTAATGCTTCACTTGGAAAATATTGGTCTCTATTGGTAAATATTAAGCTAATTCCCATTAGGGGGCAAAAACCATTAGGTTTTAATCCTAATGGTTCTAATGGTCTTTATTCAGCAGGGGTTATTGTTGTGCTGCCAGCTTGCACAACATAACTGAAAGTTGGGTATTGTTGACTTTCAAGCAACTAAATAAAATGATAAAATGTTAATGTAACAGTAAACTTACCGACATCACAATCTAATGAAGGCACTCATTAATCTTGACCTTATTGATCTTTTTCGTGCTGTTCTGTTCACTCTGGAACATAACTGTGGCTTTTACTTCAAGCCCACGTGCCCATGACATCACGTGAGGGGCGTTCCTGGGGGGATAGATCACAGAAATGCACACAAGTGGGATGCATTACCAATACTACTACTACTACAAAAAAAAAAATAAATAAATAAAAAAAAGAAGAGAAACCTTTTCAGTCTGTGTATCTTTTGGTTATTCAACTGTCATTTCAAAACCAGCATTGAAAAATGGGTCAATTCTCATTTTTGGTTTTGTTTTTTGTCAGTGCAAACACTAAAAATTTGCTTTGTTTTACAGTTTCACAAACTAATCATAAAATCAAAAAACAAACAAAACAAACAAACAAACAAACATCAATTCTTCACAACAAACAGCACAACAGGACCTAAAGCCCAACACAGAGTCTCCTCTCTCAGTGAGAGTTTAGTTTAATGTAAGGAAGGCGCTGGTGTCGGTGCTGCACTCGGAGGACTGAATGGCTTTCTGTCGTAATGAAGGTGTCTTGATAAAGAAGGAGACACAGGAGAGGCTACAGAATAACACAAATAACACATACATACATTTTAGACTTACAGAACAACATTAACATTATTAAACCACGACAACGTCCCTTTTTACGGGGGCGGAGCTCTGCATATCGCGCCTCTAAAGCTCCCTCCAAAAACCAGAGCCAGTGGCAGCTGCCACAGTATTATCAGAACGACCTGCACACAGGACAGCTCACAGCTTTAACTCTTAGGTCTGGAGCTGTTTACATCTGACAGTGTGACATCACAGTATTCATTTTCCTCATCATTACTGGGCAGCGTGACTCATTTCTCTCTTTGATTTCGCTGTTAAATGGCAGGAGTTCTGTAAAGTCTCTTCCCCAGATCACTTAAGATTTCTTCCTGATAGGATATATTTTATTTATTTATTGTTTAAGTGATAGAAAATGTTAAAATTAAATACATAAAATACGACCCCTTATTCCTCTTCTGTTTTTTATTATTTTATCATACATTTGTGAAACTGTCAATCAAAACTATTTCTTTATTTTCCACTGACAATAACAGAACCAAAAACAACAACTGACCCATTTTCCTGTTCTACAAAACTGGATTTGAGATGAAAATCGAATGACCCAAAGATACGCGAACCCTTTTCCCTGAGACATAAACGCGCCTTGCACACTTGCTCTCAAAATAACTTACTCAAGAAAGAGCGGAGGTCTCTCTCTCTCTCTCTCTCTCTCTCTCTCTCTCACTGCCGGGCTAATTTGGCGCTAGCATTAGCTGGTAACAGAAACCCAGCTTCTGGCTGTCGATCTAAACTTATTAGCTCGACTAAACTTTAGTAAAGCACACATTTCTGTACAACCCGAATAAATTATAATTACTGAATACTTACCCAGTGTGTGTGTCCACCGCTCTCGGTTCGAATCTTCAGTCTTGGCCGCGGTTTTTCAAACGGCGCCCCGCCCTCCTCCTCCTCCTCCTCCTCCTCCTCACCCAATCACCTGCAACTACTGTGACTTGAATTTTGAGTGACCAATCAGTCAAAACATGCCACTCTGTCGCTCTGTAGTGCTGTCACCGAAATTCGTGTCCTGTGGTTGTGTGCGTGTCATGCAGCAGGAAAATACATTAAATACATTTATTAAAAGAGCAGTAACATCACAGTTTATTGGTATGACATATTTTAACCATATTTATGTTTGTATAAATATATTTAAGTTATTGAACTGCAGTATGTGTGACATTTTGACAGACTGATTTTGTTTACCCAACACCACAACTGACATCCCACAAAATACCAGGGTCTAAAGTTGTCTGTATCCCACATTAGAAGGACTTTAGCACTGTGACGTTTAGCAGATGTTAGGTTTTGGTTAGTTAACACTGTGACTTCCCAGTTAGCAATATTTATCTCATCTTTAGTTTTGTTTTGGCCCAGTTCTGGCTGGGTCCTCAGCCCAGATCTGGTCTATATACTGTAAAACAAGAAGAACTAATTGATGTGGCCCAGATGAGGCCAACACACTATAAAATTAGTACAACTAACAGATGTAGCCCAACTCTGGCCCATATACTGTAAAGTGAGTAGAACTAATAAATGTGGCCCAGATCTGGCCAACATACTGTAAAGTGGGTAGAACTAAGGGCTCTGGTCCAGCTCTGGCCCATATACTGTAGTATATATAAAGGTGTGGGCCAGATTTGGCTACCCACTTTAGTCCCCAACCAGGTGTGGCACTGCAGGATGCCACATTCATTTATTGCAGATCATGCAAAATATTAGTAATATCTGTGATTAGTTTTAGTAATATTTCTTCTTAATAATCAATAGGTGTCAAAAGCCATTTTAGAATGAAAACTCCATGTTGATTCTGGTTAAATAAATAAAAACAGTAAATGAATGAAGGAACAAAGGCTTCACCTTTGTGACAGGTCGTTCTTGAGCAAAGTGGAGAGGCCACTGAAATACAGGCTAAATCTGACATCTACCTTGGAGCACTGTTCAAATGTAATTTCACAGACATTTTATTTTAAATCAGAGATGGCAAACATGTCTAAAAAAATCATACTTAAGCGGTCTGTGGAATAAAAAACATTTGTGTATGTCCCTGAAGTATAGGTGTCAACCCATTCAATGTGCCTTCATAAAATACATGCATACATGAGATCAAGCCAACTGTGTATGAGACACTGTTTCGCGGTTTAATTTGATAAACAGCTATGTTTTCTGATTCTGTCTGCAATAATTCATATGATTACTGGAGGATTTTTTTCCACAGTAAACAAATACAAAGCTGGATAAATCAAAACCTGTCCACTCCCTGATGCCTAAGAAAAGAGGAAATGCATTATTGTTTGCACTATTATTTACTTATTTAACTGATTTCCAGATAACACAGTTTTTATGTCAAACTGTACAACAAATCCCTTTACCTAGTAATCTGGAACACCACAATCAGCATTTCCAACAGATCCCTCTACAGACTGAATATGCTCAGTCACTTTGGTAGTTGTTTCACTGTAAGCAGTCACAGAGCTCCAATAACAGCTTGTCTGGAAGGCATGGGTTTTACTTCAGAAACTGAATAATGAGGCAGGAACTCCACAACTGTAAGATCTGTAACAACAAGAAAGTTTTTGTTCTAACAAACATTAAGGAACCCATAATCAAAATTAAGCTACTTACAGGTCGAACTAATGTAAAGCACACCTGGCAGTGAACTCTCATATGAACCAGGAAATATTGCCTCATTTTAACAATGACAGCATCCATTTTTAAAAATTTTTGTACTTCTACTGACTTATACAGAAGGATGATGTGTGTGCAGACGAGAGGACCTGCTACTGCTGTCACAAGACAATGTGCTAGCCCAGAGTAAACGCTCTAGACCCAAGCTAATGTGCTAACTTTGAGCTAATGTCCTAACTGCAAACTAAAGCGCTGTACCATTATGGCATAACACTCAAAAAGCACAGGCTATTCCTTTTAAATGCTCAGAGTAGTTAGCTAACGTTAGCTAAGGAAGAAGTTAACATTAGCCATGATGAATTAGCAATTAAGGGTAATGTAGCTAAACCTTGTGCTGATAGCCGTTACATTAACCTAGCTACCCTGTGCTTTTCAAGTGTTATGCTAAAATGGTACTGTTAGAACGTTAGTTATAACTTTTAATTTTCCATACTGGAACCTTATAATTTGAAATTATTCAATTATTACTCTTCCATTTGCCTTCTTTTCAAACCTAGCTGCCAGCTTGTCCATATGAAAATGGTGAACTTGTGCTGGAAAATTCATTAAATGAGGGTCTTAACCTTCAAAGGGTGAACTCTAATTGCACTTATGACATGCCAGACTAGGGTCAAAGGTACTGAGGTGTAAATCAGCCAATCTGCTGCAGCATAAAGGTGTGGCCCTCTTCCTTCATCCACATTGTTGGGCCACAACATTCATGTCAGAATTGGCCCTTAAACGTAGATACAATTTAAGACCATGCACAGCTGTCCAGCATCTGGCCCAATTCTGGCCCACACTTGGGTATGTAAGCCAGAATTGGCCCAGAACTGTCTGCTATTTGGGTGAGCTGCTTATGACATGTCAGACATAGGTCAAAAGTACTGAATTGTAAATCAACTGAGCACAAGTCTGCTGCAACTTAATTGTGCTGTGGCCCTCTTCCTTCATCCACACTGATCGGCCATAACATTCACGCTAGAAGTGGCCCTTACACGTAAATGTGACTTAAAACCATACACAGCTGTCCAGCATCTGGCTAATATCTGGAAGTCAACGAACACTCACGGATGTAAGCCAGAATCGGCCGAGAACAGTCTGCTGTCTGAGTTAGAGCCAACAACATGTCATAGTCTATTGATGTTAGAATTTTGTTTCATGAAGGTTAAAACTCTGACACCATGGCCTAAAACCAACATTGGCATAAGACGTGTGGAAGATGTTGGATTTTGGTTACATGACACTGAAATTTTAAACCAACAAAATATCAACTTCTAATAATGTTAGAATGTCATGTCGAATTCACCATACATCACGACCGCATGTCAGTTTTCTACGTCAACCTGATGTTCGCATGTGACGTTTGGAAGACGTTGGATTTTGGTTACTTTATATCACAACTTAAAACCAACAGAATATCAACGTCTAATGATGTTAGAATGTTACATCAATCTGATGTTAAGGTTATGACGTTAAATAGACGTTGGGTTTTTGTCACCATACCTCACGACCGCATGTTAGTATTCTACGTCAATCTGACGTTGGGATGTGACATTTGGAAGACGTTGGATCTTGGTTAGTGAACATCACAACTTAAAACAAACAAAATATCAACGTCTAATGATGTTAGAATGTTACGTCAATTTGACGTTAAGGTTATGACGTTAAATAGACGTTGGGTTTTGGTCACCATACCTCACGACTGCATGTCAGTTTTCTACGTCAACCTGATGTTGGCATGTGACGTTTGGAAGATGTTGGATTTTGGTTACTTTACATCACAACTTAAAACCAACAAAATATCAACGTCTAATGATGTTAGAATGTTACGTCAATCTGACGTTAAGGTTATGACATTAAATAGACGTTGGGTTTTGGTCACCATACCTTACGACTGCAGGTCAGTTTTCTTTGTCAGTATGACGTTGGGATGTGACGTTTGGAAGACGTTGGATCTTGGTTAGTGAACATCACACCTTAAAACCAACAAAATATCAACGTCTAATGATGTTAGAATGTTATGGCAATCTGACGTTAAGGTTATGACGTTAAATAGACGTTGGGTTTTGGTCACCATACCTCACGACTGCATGTCTGTTTTCTACGTCAACCTGACGTTGGCATGTGACGTTTGGAAGACATTGGATTTTGGTTACTTTGGTATCTTGTTTTTTGCTTAGTTTAAGTAAAAATTGGGGGGGGTTCTACTGGGAGCAGTGCTGGTTGTACAGTCTAACAGCAGCAGGAACGAAGGACCTGCGTCCTTCACACGCTTGGGGTGAAGCGGCCTGTCACTGAAGGAGCTGCCCAGTGCTGCCAGAGTCTCAGGCATGAGGTGGAAGCTGTTGTCCAGCATGGATGCTAGCCTGCTAACATCCTCCTGTCTCCCACCACCTGCAATGGGTCTAGGGGACTTCCCAGGACAGAGCTGGCCCACTTAAGGAGTCTGTCAAGTCTCTTCCTGCCAACAGTTGAGATGCTGCTGCCCCAGCAGACCACTCCATAAAAGATGGCTGATGCCACCACGGTGTCGAAAAAGGAGGTGCCCCCTGGACTACAAATGACCTCAGTCTCCTAAGTAGGAAAAACCTGCTCTGGCCTTTCCTGTATAATGCACTAATGTTATCTGACCAGTCCAGTCTATTGTTGAGGTGAAAACTTATAAGTTGAGTGAGCACTTATAAGAGTCCACTCTCTCAATGTCTGTTTCCTGGATGTTCACTAGTGGAAGGCGGTGTCTATGCCTGCGGAAATCCATCACCATCTCTTTGGTCTTCCCTGCATTGATCGGGAGATGGTTCCTCAGACACCAGTCCACAAAGTCCTGGGTCAGTTCTCTGTACTGTCTGTCGGCCTCATAACAGATGACTGGTGAGTCATCAGAAAACTTCTGCAGATGGCAGTTTGGTGAGCTGTGCATGAAGTCTACAGTGTACAGGGTGAAAAGGAACAGTGCCAGGACTGCTCCCTGCGGGGCCCCTATGCTATTGACCACCATGTCAGACACACAGTCCCGTGCCCTCACATACTGTGGTCAGTTGGTAAGGTAGTCCAGAATCCAATTTGATAGGTGGTGATTCACCCCACTGTTCTCCAGCTTGTTCCTCAGGAGCCAAGGCTGTATGGTGTTAAAAGAAGAAATCAAAGAACATGATTCTCACAGTGCGCCCAGGCTTCTCCAGGTGAGAAAGAGCTCTGTGTAGGAGGATGTCCGCATCCACATCAATGCCCGGTTGACAGGCAAAA